CTCACTCACTCACTCACTCACTCACTCACTCACTCTCTCACACTCACTCACTTACCACCACCACCGTCACCACGATCCCCAACTTGATCACCACCATCACCTCTCTGGACCCCAATGCGTCTAGATCTCTGGACTTTCTGCTTATAGACCTCACACACACTGTTTGGGGTCTCTTGCCGGGAGAATACTGTAAGAACCCCTAGTGTGTCCACAGTGTCTGGAGAAAAAAGGATCAGACCGACCTGTCTCCCATGCACCCCCGACTCCCCCTGCACCCACCCGTTTACACCGAACTTCTGGTATCCACCTAGCGGAGGTCACCTCGCGTCACGGTCGCACAGGTACGTCCACGCGGTCTCCGCGGAGCATGACCTGGGTCTACGTGAGTTCCGCGCTTCGGTGAGTGTCATCACCCGACGAGGCAAAGGAGGGAGAGGAGAAACTGGAGGGAGCGTGTGCTGGGGGAACAAGAAAAATGAGAGGATCTCCCTAATTACGAGCCTCTATGACGCCCTATATTTGTTTTATGATGTGATTTCTGAAATGGTTGCATCTCTTGGTTGGGCAACACCTGTTTTTGTCTTGGAGTCTTGAAATGTGATCGGCCTGAAAATGTGTTTTGTTTGCCCCTACTTGTATAGGTTCATGTGGTTCTCATGGTTCTTGGATGCTCGCATCATGTCCTGATTCGCAGATGACGCAGAGTTATGTTTTGCAGAGTGGCGCCCCCAATCGCCAGGAGCGCGGATCATGGAGCGCGCCCTCGACGAAAAGAGAGCAGCTGAGCAGCCCCTGTTTTGGAGAAACGCCCCCTCCCCATCACAAACATGAACAGTCGTGAGCAAACGTTGATTCATTTTATAAGTGTAATTACTATAGATGTTTAATAAACATATCAAGTTTCAAACCAAACATTGCCAGTCATTTCATGTATAACATGTGCAACCAAAAACCAGGAAAAATATATAACAACGTCCGATAGAGATGTGTTCAGTGTTCTTACATTACATGAACATCGCATGGCCGCAAAACACAGTGGCAAGAAGCATCGCCAGTGTTCCGAGGTCAACGACCCACGACCCGCCGCCCCACCTCGGTCGAGTCATCGAGTCTGTCGACAGGTCTCACCTGCCTCGTTTCGTAGAACACGGTCTCTCCGGTCGAGAAGGAAGAACTCAAGTCTGGAGAAAGCTCCGTCTCACATGGCCCCTAGTTCATGAAACCTTCATCCACTTCATCAGCATGTGGGGGTTTGATCACCTGCATGTCTCGGAAGATCTCCAAGGATTGGATTGACTGATGCAGTATGTGCGAAAGGAACAGGGTTGCAACCATCCATTTAGTGACGGAACCCACTAGGACCAGAAGCATCAAGCAGGTGTGATGTTCGTAACTTGGAGGTTCGTTTTGGCCCTGTTCCGCATGCCGATTTGCGCATGGCCATGCGATTTGCGCATGTCTTTCAGTGAGGTTATCATATCGTTTCACTGAGGTTATCACATGTTTCATCAATCCAATCACCCTGAGTAGAAGGATTGGTCTGTTCCTCATGTTGTGTTATCTTCGCATGTTGCGGGCCGTTGGGAGTCGGGTCACGTCGGAAAACGTTTGGGAAGACGTACTCCGGTGCTCCGAAGGAAGTCGTTCGTGCTGAACTTCGGTGGCTTTAGGAGTATCACCCAGTTCAAGCTGGCCTTAGATGCAAAAAGATGCAAAACGATTGAGTTGTTGACCTGGCGGCTTCAAAGGCCAAGAAAATACAAGAGCCTTAGCCTTGGATGTGCAGTAGAGGTTGGATCTTTTGCAGCGGAACAGGAGTCTAGGAATCAACCCCACCGGTCGAAGGCAAAGCGAAAAGAGATCGTGGAAAATTAGTGATTGTGTGACTGCGTGTTCCGTGAAAGTCCTTACAAGTCAAGAGAGGCACTTTGTTCAACCTTTGTTCAACATAGACGAAGGAAGCGCGTGTCCAAACAGACAGAGACCGCAAAGCAACAAACAGTCAGTACATCACCATGGTCGTTGGATGGATCATCGCTGGATACTTTGGATGCGGCTTTCTACTCCATTTGCTGCTTTGGTGCCTCGATGTCCAAATTTGGTGGTTTACAGACTTTTTCTGCGACAGACACAATCCCCAACAACCCATGGGAGTAGAATATTTACCTTGACCCTTAAAGCATCTTAAGACGCCCCAATGTATAGGTAAAACACAAATTCCTGGGTGTCTATGTCGTCAATGCCCAGTGGTGGGCTGTGGGCAACATCCTGATGTGAAGGATAGGTCTACGTGGGGTTACGCTTTGGGCGGTTTAGTGTACTGAGTGCACCGAACGGCTGTCTACCGATGAAAGCCTGAAACGTTCCATGTTCCACTGGTGAGCGCCGGTGTTCGCCGTTCCATGAGATCTTGTTGGATTGTAAGTGACCATCCTCAGTAGAAGAGACCATCCTCTGCCGAATCACAGCCGAACGAAGACCACTTCCAATGGTCTTTTGGAGGCTGAAGAGTGAACCCCTCTTTGGAGTGGTCAAGTTCCGTGGGAGCCGACTCCAATCGCCGGCTCCCACTTTTTTTCGTTTCGATCGACCATTTCTGCTCTTCAGCAGTGGGCCATCAGAGGTGAGTTCGATGGCACAAGGGTTCCCAAGTGAAGGTGATTTTGATGGACCCCTATGACCCCTATATAAAAGACATCTTTAGGTTCGTGCAATCTATTCTGAAACCACTGTACATATAAATGTTCAGCTTCATCCGGCTCCATCATGCTCGAAGCAATCTCAAAATGATGAGAGAATCGGACGATCCGAGCTTTTCCAGGCAGACAGAAGCCATGCTATGCCATGCATTGGAGGTACATGTAAAGAAAAATGCATGTGGTCCAAGTCCAACCAAAGCGCATTCCGATCTTTGCTGCCACATCAGGGGCATGAGGTTCGCTTACGCTGAAGTCCGACTGTCTTCACGACCCAAATGTTACCACGACCAGCAGGTTCTTTTTCGCCCCGTCGCGTTGTTTTCATCAGCTGCCAACCATCAGAAAAGAACACATATAA